TCCGAGGCTCGACAATAAAGTCTGAGGCTTGGCAATAAACTTGAAGTCCGAGGCTTAGGAATGATCGGGCTACCTGTAGTCCGAGCCTCGGACTTGATAGCTGGGCGAGGCGCTGGTGGTTGAAGGAGAGGAGGGGAACCAAGATCTCCTTACTTTTTCGGGTAATACATGTAGAAAAAGAAAAAAATCGATGTGTTTTGAGTCTGGTTAGGTTTTTGATTTTTCAAAAATAATTTAAATGCTCAAAAAAAAAATAAAAAAAAATACGGTGATGAAGAGCGCAAAACAATCTACACCCCTATATTTGTTTATTTTTTTTATTATTATTTCTTGCCAGCGAAAAAAAAATTCGCGGGTCGAGTTCCCGTTCTAACGCGGTTTAGCGCGGAGTAACCGGAGTTCTAACGGGGGTTCAACGGGAGTTGAACCGTTCAACAGAAAACCCCCGTTGAATCCAATTTCGGACATATAGCTCGACGGAGCAAGCTCATAAACAAGCCTGCAACCAGCCGCCGACTTTGTGGTTGGAGGCATTCGACTCGAAGCACGACCTCCTTGCACCACGAGCAATCAGATTGCTTGGCCAAGCAAACTCCTCTGCCGCTTGCGAGCGGAATTGGAGCTTGCATGAGCTGATCTATGGACGAAGGCGAACGAAGTTGTTGCCACAGAGGATGGCATAACTGGTGTACATCAGTTGGAATGTTCGGCTGCTGAGGAGGAATCAGCGTGGCGAGGGGGATGATACCCACATCCCATGGGCGGGCGATGTCCYGGTGGACAAGGAGATGGAGGAGTGGTATGTGCAGTGGTTGGATCGGATCCATGAAGATTTCGATCGTGAGGAGGTTGTGGAGGTGGACTGCGATGATGAGGGAGATGAGATCCCGATGCGGCGGACTTTCCTGCGGAATGACGAAGTTGACGACAAGCTGGTTGAGGAGGAGGAGACTCTACTTGTCGGTACAAGGCAGCGCGATTGGCACGAGTGCACGAAGCCTGGGAAACACTGTGAACAAGAGTTGCGCAGAAGATCTGGTTGTCAGCTGCCCGTGCTTGGAGAGTTGTACACGGAGGAGGGTTACGCTCTCGCAATGGAAGCGTGACAGGCAAGCACTTGGGTGCAGAGGCGGGATGAGGCGCGAACAAAGAGGAGACGGAAAGATAAGGGCAAACAGACGGTGGATCATGATGATGCGCCCACGCAGCGTGGGAAGAGGAAGGTTGTTCAGAGAGAACAGCCACGACCGAAGAGGGGTCGTCCAACTTTGGCAGAACAGGCGGCACGCAAGGCGAAGAAGGATGAAGAGAAGGCCATCGCTGCAGCATCGGAAGCAAAAGTTGCTGCAGACAAAGCCGTGGCAGCCAAAGCCAGAGCGGCAACGAAAGCTGCCACAATAGGCCCACAAAGAGCGCAGGTAGAGGGAAGGCCAAGAAGTCCGTCGTTGTAAGTGACGACGACGACGTGAATGTCCCCGAAGAAAGTCTTGAAGAGGACGAGCCTGAAGGCTCGTCCACGTCCACGGACTCAAGTTCTTCATCGGCTACCTCGTCATCTAATACCAGCGGGATGGAAGGCACACACAGAGAAGGAAGTGAGGGAGGGGCCCAATTCGAGGATGACGACGAGGAAGATCGGGTAGAGGTTGAGTAGAGGGAAACCGTTCGATCTATGATTTCATCAGTTCAGGTATCCGATGCTCCAAGTGCAGAGTTTTGACAATGGTCGTATTTCTGACATGAAGCTTTGAACTTTCAAATTTCAAACTGTTATTTAACTTATTTTTGTTCTCGCAATGTTGAATGTACGAATATCTATGTGAGCTGCCACAAAGATTGGATTTGATTGACTGGTTTTCAGTTGTGTTTCTCATTCTTTGTTGCGGATGCTGCACAACGAATTCATTGCTGTTGTGAATGTGTTCTTTTGATGCCATGTTGTCGGGTCGTTGGACGGATGCCCTGACTGCCATCGCTGATACGTGCATACTCCGACTGCAGGTGAGTGTTTGCAACTTTGCAACTTTGCAGCCCTCCCACCCCTCTGATTTGTCTGTAACTCTCAGAGGATTGCACAAGACTAAGGTGGGGGATACTCTAATGAAAGGAGAAAAAGGCAGGGGTAAGGCAGGGTGAGTGGGGGGGCTGGTTGCAGGGGTTGGGGGGTGGCTGGTTGCAGGGCATGGGTGGGGGTTGGGGGTGTCTGGTTGCAGGTTGGTATGGC